GAGTGAACCTCCCTTCAAAATAGCTCCTTAATAGGATGGCCACATTCTCAGAGGTGTTCTTTGGCTCTTGGGAGGCTGGGTCCACGTCCAGGGATAATGTGTGCTCACTGTGTGGTTGAGCTGATGGGGCAGGCAGAATCCCTTCCTTCAGAGGCACAAACACCGGGCCTTGTGTCTGAAGGTGAAACAGGGACAGTGAGGAGAGGTCTGGAATTCTAGAATGATTCCATGTGCTTGTTCTCCATGATAATGTGTGACCGGGGCTGCTGACCCAACCTGGATGTCCTTTGGCCTGCCTAGAACAGATGAACACTTACTACATTTTTATTTTTAAAAATACAACAAAACTTAGTCGGGCTGCTTCCTTCATCTTCCCTTTCCATCACTGAAACCTCACTACACCTCTCTCCCAAGTAGACGGTATGCTGCTTCCCGGGTTCAACATCCGGGGCCACCCCTATTGCAGAGAGATGCTGTCCTGGCAGAACCCGCTTCACCATGCATGATGTGCTTTGACTTCCCAGCTCACCGGAGATCCTCCTTCAACTTTGAGTGCCTGCGCCGGCAGAGCAGCCAGGAGGAGGTCCCGCCATCACCTGCCCTTCCACACCGAGCGGCCCTGCCTCTGCACCTGATGCAGCAGCAGGTGAGTCACCCACCTGGCCTTCCTCTGCCTGGGTCCCATTGGATGCACCCTTCCCTTGGCTGCCAGCACCCAGAGGCAGGGAGGGAGAGAGAGAACCTTCACATACAATCTGGTCTAGTCCTGGGAGCAGCCCTGCCTGATAGATCTTCCAGCCCACTCCACAGGAGCGCCACAGGAGGGGAAGCTGGGCCTTGTCTGATCCAGTGCCAGCTTCCTGGCATTGAAGACAAGGCTGGGATAATCCCTGTCTCAGGGAGCCATAGCCTCTTTTCCAGATTCTTCCAAATTGCCGCTGTTCTTTATCTGCTCTGAGAGGTAGTTCCTCTGTTAAGACACATTCATGGAGTTCTGTGGTCACAGGGATGGCCCAGGGAACTCCCTGCCCACAGGGAAGGTAGCTGTGCACAAGGCAGCCTGTGGCCCAGCACCCACTCACTGGTGCTCTGCCTCAAGGACAAGAGTATGGTTCACCATATGTCTGTTCATGGATTATGGGGCACAGGGTGGTCAAGGGACTTTCTAGCACTCAGCCAGTCCATTGGTAGAGACAGGTCTTTGCAGGGTTCTTAACCCAGGGTCCTGAGCACATGAATACTCAGTGAGGCCAGTTCAGATTTTCTAGTCCAGTCTGCCAGCTTTTCACTTCTCTGCTTGCATGTTTTTTGGGGCAGGGTGAACACTGGGGATTGAACCCAGGGGTGCTTATCCACTATACCACATCCCCAGCCCTTTTTTAATTTTTTGAGGAAGAGTCTTGCTGAGTTACTGAGGGCCTCACTAAGATGCTGAGGCTGGCTTTGAACTTGGGATCCTCCTGCCTCAGCCTCCCCAGCCATTGGGATTACAGGAGTGCACCAGCACACCCAGCCCTCTACTTGCACTTTTAATGCTAATTTTTAATTCTGTTCTATGTCATCAAGGACAAAGAACAAACCTTTAGAAGATCCAAGCCACCAGATGTTATGATTCTAGTAGGCATGGAGGTCTCTAAGGGCATGCGCTTCATGTGAACCAGGCCCTGGTCTTGTCTGTCTCAGCTACCTCCATTGGGTGAACCTGTGCTGTTTACCCACAGGCTCAGGTCCCTCTACACTGTGGGCGGATCTGCTGTGGTGGAGCTGTAGGAAGCAGGGTTTGTGCTCAGTGCCACAGGACAGAGGACTGCTGGGCACAGGGTGAGCTGTACTGGAGAGGAGCGAGCCAGCTATACTGGAGAGGAGCGAGCCAGCTATTTTCCTTTGTGAGCTGGACTCCTTGATTTTTCCTGAACATCCTCCAGTATTTAAACCCAGAGAGACCAGGTGGTATGTCCACACACCTCAGCTTCCCGATTCGTCGTCATTCTGAAGCAACTGTATGATAGTAACAAAACTCCTTGTGCAGTTATAGGAAACACATTAGGAATGACTTGGGGGAAGAGAAAACACATCTGTTAGGAACCCACAGTTCTTTTGACAGCTCACTTAATTTTCTTGTGTCCTTGGGCGAGGCTGCCTATGAAGCAGCACCCAGCCTTTCAGGGCCTCCTCCTCCCCACTCTCCTCTCTCTCCTCAGATCATGGCAGTTGCAGGCCTGGATTCGAGTAAAGCCCAGAAGTACTCACCAAGCCACTCAACCCGGTCATGGGCCACCCCTCCAGCAACCCCTCCATACCGGGACTGGACACCGTGCTACACCCCCCTGATCCAGGTGGAAAGGTCAGAGTCCCTGGACCAGGTCAATGGCAGCCTGCCATCCCTGCACCGCAGCTCCTGGTACACAGATGAGCCTGACATCTCCTATAGGACATTCACACCAGCCAGCCTGACTGTCCCCAGCAGCTTTCGGAACAAAAACAGTGACAAGCAGAGGAGCGCAGACAGCTTGGTGGAGGCAGTGAGTATGGACTTCAGCCACTGGGGCCTGAGAGCAGAGGCAGAGCCAGGAGAGCCAGCCAGCCACACTCCACAGGAGGGGGCCAGAGCCTGTCCACCCAGTCCTGACACTCCTCAGCAGGAGGAATGGTGTGCAAAGCCTGAGCGGAAACGGCTAGATCTCATAGATGAGCTACACTGAGCTCCCTGCGAGCGTTTCCCCTGGCGCTGCCAGGCTGTACCCTATTCTCCCCCAGCGGGTTCACTCTGGAGCTGTGTGGGGCTTTTCAGCTTCCTGATGTTTTCAAAGCTAAAGCCATTCACAGGTGTCACGTGTGAGTTCTGGGAAACGTGGTTGGGCGAGGTCCTCATGGCACATCATGCAGTTAGCACTTGAGTGGCTTTTTCTGCCACCTCTCCCCCTCAGCAAAGCCATGACATGTTGATGCCACCTTGTATCTTGTACAGGTCCTGATATCTGAAGGTTTAGGACGCTACGCAAGAGATCCAAAATTTGTGTCAGCTACAAAACATGAAATCGCCGATGCTTGTGACTTAACCATTGATGAGATGGAAAGTGCAGCCAGCACCCTGCTCAACGGGAACGTGTGTCCTCGGGCCAACGGGGATCTGGGTCCTGCCTCACACCGGCAGGACTATGAGCTCCAGGACTTCGGTCCAGGCTATAGTGACGAAGAGCCAGACCCTGGACGAGATGAGGAAGACCTCGCAGATGAGATGATCTGCATCACCACCTTGTAGCCTCAGCAGGGGCAGAGCAGCTCCAGCCTTTGTGGGGGAAAAGTGCCTCGTAGTTAGAAAGTTTAGGCACTAGTTGGGAGTAAATATTCAATTAGACTTTTGTACAAGTGATGTCATGCCTCAAGGAAGCCATAAACCTGGTAGGTACAGGTTCCAAGCGGCGAGCTCAGCAGTGCGCCATGCGCTGAGCCCAGCGGCAGAAGACAGATCCAGCCCTCTTGTGAGGGTGGGTAAGGCCAGAGCAGTTCCTCCCGACCACCCAGATGGGTGCTGCCAGGGGAGTCCGAGTCTCACCGCACCCAGGGTGCCCGAAGGAGCGGTGGGGAAGGTTAAAGGTGATGACGATCACCACACCTTGTCATTACCTCAGCCATCAGTCTAGCATATCAGACACTGGGCCCAGCATATCCATTTTTATACCCCAAACACACTGCTTCCTGGTTCCTGTTTAGCTGTTCTGGAGGACAGTGTCAGAACCCCGCTACCAGCGATCATCATGAGAGGGGAGTGGGACCTCATAGACAAGGTTTTTTTGCTATGTGACGCCAGTTTACATAAGAGAACGTCACTCGGATGGTCAGTTCCGACTGTCGTGCTTAAGGGCAACTGTAAACTGGAATAATAATGCACTCGCAACCAGGTAAACTTAGATACACTAGTTTGTTTAAAAATTAGATTTACTGTACATGACTTGTAATATATTACAATTTGTATTTGTAAAGAGATGGTCTATATTTTGTAATTATTGTACCGTATCTGAACCTGCAGCAATATCCATGGGTCCTAACGATTATAGTTCCCCACTGAAATCTAGAAATTACTAGTATTTTTACTTGGGCTATAGAAAGGTAGACAAAATAGAGCCAATTCTCACATATTCAGTGAAAATCCTTTGGGGGTAAAATTTTGAGTTCGAAAGAACTTGACACTACAGAAATTTTTCTAAAATATTTTGAGTCACTATAAACCTGTCTTTACATAAGTATACAAGATGACTACTTGCAATTTTTTTCTTTGGGCAAGAATTCTATGATTTTGATAGGGTACTTTTATCCACCAGGGGTTGCAATTATCTGTTTGGTTTTACTTTAATAACCCTCTGATAAGTCTATTACAGAGTAGGTCAAGCTGGGCTACTCTGCCCCGGTGCAGGCGTAGGTTTATTGCCTCAGCTGCCCACACAGGCCATTTCTGCAACTCTGATGCAGAAATAATTGCACAGGTGAAAGTAGTATGTCTGCTCCAGTGCCCTGGGGACTGGTGGTGATGGGGCGGGGGACAGAGGAGCACTGTGGTGACCCTTAGGGTCAGAATGTTGGGGTCTGTACAGATCATGTTGTTGCCTTTTACAAAATGTTGCTGTGCTGTGTTCTCTTTGAGGGCTTTTATATGCATTTGAATGAGGGCTGAAGTTTTCATGAGAATGTACTCTGACTGTATGTCCTGGAAAAAGCCAGTTTTGGATCATTAGAACTGTCAAGGCTTCCTTTTCTATTAACAGAATCACTCCGACGTCATCACGTGACCTTGGCAGGGATTCCCTGCACTCACAAAGACAGGTAGCAATTTTGGTTCAAATTTTTTTAACTAGTACATAGACAAAACTGTTTTTTTTGTTTTGTTTTGTTTTGTTTTTATTTTGTAAATAACACTTTGTTACAAAGACCTCACAAACCTCTTCGTAAGACATTCTTACTCCAGATCTGGGCAAAAACACTTCAAGGTTTGTAAATGACTATTTCCTGACAGAAAGCCTTTTTTATTAAAATGCAAACTGGTTCTTCAGAATGAAACTGCGTAATAATTTCATTGTCTTCGGGAGCTCTCCTGGCCAGTGAGAGCTGCGGGGCAGGCGCTCTCGGGGCAGCTCTGCACACAGGTAGATTTTTCCTCGTCCTCAGCTCCTTCGATGCCCATGGTAACACCAGCCACAGAGAGCGCCACTTCTCCCAAAGGGCTACACCACTGTCAACATTATCTGGACTGTCTCCACGGGGTTTTGGTATTACTGTGGGGCTGCACATCATCAGGTCAAAATCACCTCCCAGGACTGCAAGTTCTGGAACAGGTGACAAGTGTTTTCTGAAGTCAGTACTTAAATGCTGGCGTTGATAAAGGCTGCACCACTTCCTGGTATCTGTCTGCTTTAACCCTGGTCCAACCTCTCATCTAATATTAAATTTCTCTTTTTAAGAAAAATCTGAAGTTGTAGAGCATGGTTTTTTCCCTTTGTTTTAGAAGAGTTTTAAGATTTAATCTCTCTACTTTCTGGACCCTCCCCCAAACAGTTTTGTATTCTCAGGAATAGTATATTTCTTTAACCTTGTGTAGAAATGGTGATTTTGATTCAACTGTAAATCAACAGTGAGAACCATCTTGTTCAGCATGTGGACTCTAATTCCCAAACAGCTGGATTCCCGTTTGACCAGGTGACAGGTCCCAGCTCTGGTGTGTTGCAGAATTGGGTGAAGGCCAGGAGGGGTGGGTTTGGGGGCACTGAAAGCCACTCACTGCAAGCTGTGGCTCTGCCTGCCTGGGGCAATGGCAGCTAGATGCTCACCCACTTTACTAGGGGACCCCACTCTTCAAAGAAGCCAGAGATGTTTATTTCACAGTCTAAAATGTCTATGCCAATTGCATTTTCCTACAGGCTTTTATTTATAGGGTGAACCATTTATTTGTAAAAACGGGCTAGCCACAGAGCTGATAGCACATGCGGAACACCAGCACCTGACCTACAACTTAAGGCCCAGCTGTGGCTTGTTGAAAGGTTTCTCTCTTCCCTCCAGGGCCTGGGAGGGCAGTGCAGAAGCAGGAACAGGTTTGGGTGTTGGCTTCTGCCATCAGAATGGGGTGAGGAGGGTGGCTGGAGAATATCTGGACGCATGGATGAGAGGTATCTTTTTCTGATTTTCAAGGGGGAAGAAACAAAAATGTGTCTCAGCGCTGATGTCATGTTAGTTTATAAGTGGAAATATGAAAACAACTTTTGGGCTGAGGGTTAGGGTTAGGCTGGAGTGAAAAATCTATTTTAATTTATGGAAATCACTATCCCGCAGCCTGCAGTGGAAGCGGAAAGGCTGTGCGTTGGGGCACCTCAGCTTCCGCTCCTGGCACTCACCATTTCTAGTCATGCTGGCTGAGGCTCCTGGCCCTTCCCCGATCTGTCCCTCCTATCAGTAATTCCTCCCGTGGTGTGAGTATGGTCATCTTCCACGAGGTGAGGCTCCTCAGAGCTCTGGCCATGGATGCCCTTCTGACTCTTTGAGCAAAGCAGTCTTCTGCTGTTAGGTATGATAAGCTTTTTGACAAGAGGCTCAGCCATGGAAGTTGGCCTGGTTCCCCACAAGTGAGCACTGTCCTGCCTACTTGGGCTCCCTCAGCCCTCTCTTCCTCGTGACAGTGGAATTTCCAGACAGCCTGTTGTTTGGATGTGGGCCAGTGCTGTGGCAGCAGCCACGTCTGTTTGTCAGGGCTCATGTGAGGAACTCTTCAAGTCAACCTTGTGCCTGAACCCCAACAGCAGTTTCCTGGTTTGACTTCTGTGGGTTCTGGACACATGACACTTGCTGTCTTATCTCTTGAAATGTGTTTCCTTGTGCGATTATGTGGAAACCGCCTCACCATGTGAAAGGAGGAGAGGGGCCTGATGGGCTCTTATCACATGTCACTCTGCTTATCTCAAGATACAGCTGCTTTTGTCTCAGAGACTGAGACACCATGGGATGCAGAGATGGTGGAACTAAATGACTTGTCAGCTGCCCTATCTACGTCAGTAAATTCAGGCAGGCCTGCGACCAAAACGTACCCTTCCCTGAATCAACACGACCTCTCTGACCGGATGGTAGCATGTGGCCTAGCTGCCATCTGAGTCCCCAGAGGATGGATGGCTGCTGAGGGGATCCTCTAACTTTTGAAGAGAAATCTCTTAGCAGATCTAGAATTTTCTTTCTTGATCTTCTCTTGGAACAGAGAAAAAAATACAGGTAAGATTAAACAAGAACTGCCTAAAGTTTTAAAAGGAATATGTATGATGGTTTCTTTCTGTCCACCTTTCTGGAAGGTTTTTCTCAGAAATGTTAAGTTGCAGTTATTGGGCCTCCAAGATCTGTGAGCTGCCTGGAACCCCTGGGTTTCCCCCTCCTTATTCTGGGCCCAGCACTGCAGGTTTCCACACCACTTTTCTTCCCTCCTATCCATGGAAGATTTGCACGGTTTAACTAAAAGCATTTTGAATGGATTTTTCTTTTCATTTGCAAGCCTATGGGGATAAGGTATCGCGGTTCAAAAATAAGTTACTAGAATATATTAAATATCAAAGAGCTGTTGTAAATGCTCCTTGTAGCTATCCCCCTCCCTCCGAAAACTCCAATCTTCACTGATTACTGTTTCTTGTACTTAGCTGCTTTTCTATCGCTCTCAGCACCATTCTGATCTATTCCCATGAACGTCCAGAGAATAAGAATTTGCCCTGTCTCTGTACTGGAGCCCTGGGAAGCAGCCAGAGCTTTCCTGACAAAGAGGTGACCTGGTATGTGGGGTTGGCTCTAGGAGTCTGTGTTTCTTGGTAATAAGACCAAAGTGCCTTTCCCTCCTTGAATGAGGTCCAGAAAGCCTCCCATCGGGACTGTGGAACCAGAACACTACAGAGGTGGCCCTCCCTCTGACAGTAAAATCAGGATTAGGGAAAGACAAAAGTCAGATGGCAACTTTCCCTCTGCCCAGGGATCCTCGGGATTCGGTGCCAGCCTGGGATGAGCTAACTCCTATGACTTGCAGCCTTGGGTAAAGCTCAAGACACAGGATGATACCCTTCCTTGGGGGGCTCAGTGCAAGCTTACCACATCTGGGCAAACCACCCTGTCCTCTTAGGGGGAAGCCTGGAAGAAAGCATTCTGCTCAAGGCAGCAGGACCCCGCGTTGGAGAAGACCACATGGATACAGGACGAGAATGTGGCAGTTCACGTTCCCCTATCACCTCCCCTGTCCCTCCAGGATGCAGGGTCCCAGGCTGCACAGTGGCCTTCTCCCAAAGGACTATATCAAAATGCTGGAGGAGAACAACTTGACATACTGACTAGAACTAGTCTCATTTCCTGAGACATTATCCAGTTCTCAGCCACTGAGTAGGGCTACCTAGGTCCCAGTGTTCCAGGTGGCTTCTGGCAACATTTGGAGGAAGGGCTGGCTGATTGGTCCTGTCAGCGTGCTGGGGGCCTCTCTGGTCATCCTAAGGCAGTGGCTGTCTTAACGCTGGGTGTCCAAGGTCTTAGGCTTGTAGACAGGAACATCCCTGTCCCAGAGTGCAGGCTGCCCCTTAATGATGTCGGCTGCTTTTTCTGCAATCATGATTGTGGGGGCGTTCAGGTTGCCACTGACTATGCTGGGCATGATGGAGGCATCAACGACCCTGAGGTTTTCTACCCCCAGGACCCTGGTCTTTGGGTCCACCACAGCCATGGGATCGGAGGGCTGGCCCATCTTACAGGTGCATGAGGGGTGGTAGGCACTGTCGGCTTTTCTCCGCACAAAGGCATCTATCTCCTTATCGGACTGAACGTGGCTTCCTGGCTGGAGTTCTTCCCCCCGAAAGGGAGCCAGGGCTTCCTGTGCAAAAATTTCTCTGGACAGCCTCACACACTGACGGAATTCTTTGATATCTGTTTCTGAAGAGAAGAGACAAAATGAGGCCCTTCCTCTTACCATGCTGGCCTCCCTGGAAAATTCCAGGTATGCAGAGGCTCAACCAGCCACAGGGGACAAAGTTCACAGACATGGAAGGAAGACCAAGTCACCAGGTGTGTATCACCTGCCCACAACCATCCTAGATGGGCAGCTTCTGCCCCAGAGTTGGCATGGGGGCTTTCACAGCCACATGGTAGCAGAGGCAGGCTCTGTCCAACAGAGGCGCTCATTTTGGCAAATAGGCAGGCCTGGGATGGCGAGCTGCACACACACCGCCAGGTGTCCCTGCACCTCTCACCTGCCAAGTGAGGTGCTGGGGTTACTTCACCTGGCCCAGGACATTGTGCCTCCAAGCTTATGGCCTAGGGTGATAGGGCAGGGACAAATGAGGATCCTATAAAGGCATTTATCCAGCCTAGGTAGAGGGGAGATACCAGCAGCTCCTGAATTACCTGTGGACAAGTAGTTGGGTTGGATTATTGGGTGGTCCTGGGGATTTTTACTTCTCAGTTTGAGCCAGCCCACACTTGGGCTCCGCATAGGCCCCACATGTACCTAGGAGAGTTCAGAGGAGACAATGACATTGACCTCCCTCAACCCAACTCAGTAGCCTGCAGCAGTCCTTGGTTTCCTGTGGGGTAAGCCAGCATCTATTAAGAACAGGTACAGTCTGACACATGTCTGGCCTGCATCTCGCCCCATCTCCAGGAATCCCTGTTCCCTCCCAGCTTTACACTCCTTGGTACACAGCCTATCTTGCCCATGGCTGGTGGTGGGACCCCAGAGCCCCCTCCTCACACTGATCAACTCCTCCCTTCCAAACAAAGATTCTGGGCTGCCACTTTTCTCTCCCCATTGACACACTGAGCCACTGGAGGGCAAGGGTCTGAAAGCCCCGTACTGGGGAGGAGGAATCTGCCTAGCAGTGGCTCCTGAGCTCACCTGGTAAGCCTCCTGCTTGGTGGGGACCCGGCCATGGTCAATCACTTGGGATGGCAGGAAATGGAACTGAATATCTGGGTGGGAGACCCCAGGCTGGCTGCGGATAAACCCACCCGTTTCCAGATGGGATGTGGCTCCGTACCCTGAGTATCAGAAGAGGATAAGGCAGGCAGAACAATTGTTCCTGGTACCTTCCCCCCATCCTCCTGGCCCTGAGCTCTAGCCATAGCTGCCGCAGGTGGGTTCACCCACACCACAGCTTTAAATATCAACCCTGTGCCTAATGGGGGCTTCAGCTGCCTGTTGGCCCCTCCCACCTGGTTCAGGGTATAGCAAAGGAGGGGGAAACAGTCTGAGCTGGGGAGGATTTCCAAGAAAGGTCCCCTGGTTGAGGCAGTGCCGATTCTGCAGCCCAGTACCAAGGTCTTCTGTCTGCCTTGTTCCACGTGGTGGTCTATCCCCACCTGCCTATAAGAAGGGCAGCACCTGAGCATTCTGCTTGAGTGGGCACTGTGCTAAGGGCTTCAGGCCCTCATACCAGTCTGTCAGGCAGGAGCTTAGGGCTCGGGTAAAGGGCCTAGTTCAGCTTCAAACAGAAACCTGAAGCCTAGAGTCCTTGCTTAGCTCCTCGGGAAGGAGAGCACAATGCCCACAGCCACCAAGGTCACAGAGGAACCTGCCTACCTGTGAATCTCCACAGCCATTCCAGTCCAATGCAGATCTTCCTCAAGGGCTTCTGGGCTGAGTGGAGGGTGATGGGGTGGGTGCAGGCCTGTTGGATGTATATCTCCAGGTGGTCCTGCAGGTTCTGGCCAACTCCTAGAATGGGAGGGAGTGGTTAGGGAAAATGGCTACCATGGAGGCTTAGCTGGCTTTGAACCCTGTCCCCCTTTCACTTATCTTCTAAGCCAGCTCCTGTCTGGCCCCTGTGTCTCAGCCACCCTTCCTGCAACTCCTGCCTTGTCCAAGTGGGAGGGGCTGGCTACGGATCCATGCCCAGGGTCAAGAATGTCCAGGGCAACCTGGAGACCCTTGGGCTCATGGGAAAGATGTGTCAGTTTCTGGAAGTAGTAAAGGGGGGGGGGGCTCACCAGGCAGGTGGCACACCACAGGGATGCCCAGTCTCTTGAGGTCATCTGCATTCCCAATGCCTGAAAGCATGAGCAGCTGTGGAGAGTTGATGGCACCCCCGCTCAGGATCACCTCCTTGCTGGCATAAGCCTGGAAGAGGCAAAGAACCACCCAGTCATATCTCCTGAGAGCCAGCTATTCTCGCAGCTCACAGACCAGCACCCCACTCCAGAGCCACAAGAACATGGCCTTGGGATGTACTCATGTTGGGCATGAGGATGCTGCCGTCACCACCCTGGAGATCCTGCTCACAGGCCCAGGAATAAAGGGGGAGTGCACCGTGTCACCATTTGAAAGTAACCTGCATGTGCATTCAGGGTATGTTCAAATCATGGACCTAGCTCTAGAACATTCTGTAACAGTGGCCTTAAAAACAGATTAGGCTGACAATCACAGCTTAGGATCAGAGTTGTGGAGGCTGGGTTCTATCTCAAGGGCTCTGATATAGCAACTAGTGTGCTCAAGTCCTTGGGTTCCGTCCCAAGTAGCAAAAAAATAAAGCAAACGGGGGCATTTAAATGAGGTGAATGAAAACAGTCACTCAAGTAGTAAAAGCATGCATGCATGGAGCCAAACCAACCTGGTAAGTGGAGAAAAGCACACTGCAGCAGCACAGCATTCAATCTCATTTATGGGTTTTAAAACCTCTAGAATAAACCTGAGGTGGGCATGGCATACTGGTACCAGAGAATCTTCCTCCTCTCTACCAGCCACAGCCTCCCCATGAGGCAGAGGACAATCCATCTCTTCTGTCACTCATCAGAGGGACAAGAGCATGTGGCTGGGGAGGAGGGCATGACTTCTGCCCAGGCTGCACATTCCCTTCCTGTGCTCTGAGCTAACAGGGGCCCTGCTGTAGTTCACTCACCTGGTGGCTCTGGCCATTCTTGATGTATTCCACACCCACAGCACGGGTGCCTTCAAACAGCACCCTGCTCACAAGCGTCTGGACTTCAGCCCTGAGGTTGGGGCGGTTCAGTGCCGGGTGCAGGTAGGCACAGGCTGCACTCCAGCGCTTGCCTGCAGGACAGAGCAAGATCAAAGTATAGCCCCTGTTCTTTCGCTGACACTTCTGGAAGGCTGGGGAAATGGTGAATATGTCCTGCCTCTGACTATGCAAGGCCTGTCTTCAAAGTAAGGTTGAGCCCTGAAGCCCTGCCCAAGTCGACATCTACCAGAGGTCCCCTGGGCACAGGTGGAAAACCATCTTTTACCCTAACAGGATGACAGAGGGGTCAGGACCCTGAGGTGAGCCCTGGCCTTGCTTCTGTCCTACACGCCTCTGGGTCAGTATCCCAGTTTATGAAAGAGGGTGCCACCGAAGAGGGCCATGTGCTCCTGACTGCCTCTCTGCGCCTTAATTTCCTCTTCTCGAAAACTCTGAGCTCTTGGTCCAAGAAGCCCATTATCCCTTGTCCACACCACCAGGGCCAAAGTGATGCCATGTCTCTGGTATTGGGGTACATTCTGTAGCATCTGGGGGCCAGTGTATCACCTACTTTCCTCCAATACCATTTTACCACACTTACTGATCCCAATAGGGCTAGAGGGAATGGGCCGTGATAGAGTACAGTTTAGGATGTGAGGACAGTGGGGACCCACGCTACCTTCGTGGATGGTCATATCCATCCAGCCGAAGCCCTCCTGCTGGAAGCCGTTCATGTCGTCGGTGAGCGGGTAGCCGGCCTGCTGTGCCGCCTGCAGGAATGCCAGGTGCAGCGGGTGGCCTGTCTTGCCTCTGGACACACGCAGTGGGCCATCGCCGCCACGGTACTGGCTGGCACCCAGCTCGTGGCCCTGTGCCCTGCGGAAGTAGGGCAGGCAGTGTTCATAGTCCCAGCCTTCAGCACCTTGGCTCTGCCAGCGGTCGTAGTCTTCAGCGTGCCCACGGATGTAGACCATGGCATTGAGGGATGATGAGCCACCCCAGACGCGGCCACGTGGCCAGTACAGTGCACGCCTGTCCATGGCCGGCTGCGGCTCTGTGTGGTAGGACCAGTTATAATTGTCATCACACAGGTTGTCCACGAGGGCTGCGGGCATGTGGATCTTCCATAGGAGCCGCTTGCTCCCAGCCAGCAAGTCCTTGGGCCCTGCCTCCAGCAGCAGCACCCGCTCTGCAGGGTCCTCGGTGAGCCGATTGGCCAGCACACAGCCCGCGGAGCCCGCACCCACCACCACGTAGCTGTGTTCATCCCCAATCTGCGAACCAGCGCTAGTCCGGGCTCTGCTACCCGGGGGCCCTGGCTGCCCCAGGGTTGCCCTTGCCAGGACTCCCCGATGGCCCAAGCACCCTTGGCTCCAGCCTTGAAGGATACGCCACATATTTCAGCTCAAGTCTTCCTGTCCAAGGAGGGGAATGGGATAATCCACTTTTCCTAGGACAAGAAAAGGGGCATTAAGCATCCTAATCTGCGAGCATGTGCAAAAATCAGACCAAAGCTGGGGTGGCCATACTGGGACAGCAAAAGTCCACTGGAAGGTCACCAAAGGTCTGCTCTGCATTGGTTGGGGCCAGCAGTCACCCATAGTCACTTCTAAGGGCAACTGAGAAGGAGCAAAAAATTCCATATCGAAGTATGCCAGCCAGGACCGACGATCACAGGGCTTGGGCAGCAGCAGAGGTGCCCTGGAAAGATTTTCCTGTGACATTGTGCATGAACCAGGAGGCCAAAAATCTGTCTACTGGAAGGCAGAAGAAAGAGCTTTCCAGGGTGGGAAAGCAAAGGCACCTACACTCGTTCACTGGAGACAGTTGCTGAACCCCTACCAGGTACCAGGCATGGTATTTTTTCCTCTAGTGATAGAGGAAAAAAATCTGCTTCCAAAACTGATGTTCTGGAGCCAGGGAGGAGAACAAGGCATAAGTAATGGAAGGAAGGGCCCCCAGACTGTGGAGCTCATAGCCTTTGACTTGAGGGACCACAGGAGCACCAGAGAGGTTTTAAGAAGGGGACAGGGTCAGAGAGACACTCTTAAAAGATCACTCTGTAGCATACTACTGGAATTTTGACAGTGAAACTGCAATAGTATTTGCAGGGTCTCTTCCACAACAATGTTACTCAACAATGTTACTCAACCCCAACATGCTCAGTAGAAAAGAATCAGAGTGTGCCTTCACAACCTCCAGTAACAACACTGGAGAAAACCCACCCATAAGGTACAGGCCCAATGTGTCTTCCCAATACAGAAATTGACCTAGTTACAAGAACTAGGAACCCCCAAGAAAATTCTGATAAGCCCTACCTTGAACCCTGTACCTCATAAATACAGCCTAGCACTAGAGGCAGGGTAAGAATACAGAGAAGACTCCTCCTTTCTCTTCTCTGTGCCAAGGCACAGGAGGAAGACGGCAGGGGCTCCTCACAGTCCTGTCTGAAGCAGACACACTGAGAAGAGCCTCTAGGCCCCCTCAGAGCAGCACCCACCGCTCAGCTCTCAACTAACAACCTGATGGAATAAAAAGTAGAAAAACCATCCAACTCAGCCTCCACTGTCCTGAACATGTGAGGCTAGTATTCCATACAAAGTTTTTAAAAGATAAATGACTCCTTGTCAAGAGAGAAAACAGTCAACAAAACCAGACCAAAGGATGACCCACTGGATATTACAACCATCAGACATTAAAAGAACCAAGATGAACATTATAAAAGATTAGTAAAAAGGGTGGGCAACATATTGAACAGAATTGAGCAAAACATTGGCAACTATACAGAAATTCAAGAAAAAATATAATACTGGAGATAAATAGTCAGTGAACCTGAAGGTAAACAGAAGAGGTAAAGGGGGAGAGCAGAACAGCTGAAGCTTAAGGACAATATCAAACCATCTGAAGTATGGATAACTGGGATCCAAGAGGGGTAGAAGGAGAGGAGGGAAAACAAGGGGGGCTACAGGTGTAGCTCAGTGGTAGAGTGCTTATCCAGCACCACAAAAGGGAGACAAAATATTTGAAAAATGATATACAAATGGAAGAGAATAGAAAACAGAGACAAACCCACATAAACACAGTTATCTCATACTAGACAAAGGTGATTTATATATATATGTATATATACATAAAATGAGGAAATATAGCCTGTTCAACAAATGGTGCTGGGAGAACTGGAAATCCATACTTAATAAAATGAAATTAGACCCCTATCTCTCACCCTGCACAAAACTCAACTCTAAGTGGATCAAGGATCTAGGCATTAGACCAGAGACCCTGAGCCTACTAGAAGAAAATGTAGACCCAACTATCTATCATATTGGCTTAGGAACCAACTTCCTCAATAAGACTCCTAAAGCACAAGAAGTAAAGTCAAGAATCTATAAATGGGGTAATATAAAACTAAAAAGATTTTTCACAGCAAAGGAAACAATCAAGAACATGAAGAGCGAGTCTACAGAATGGGAGAAAAATCTTTGCCACCTCCACCTCAGATACAGAATGAATCTGTAGGATATATATATAAAAAAAAAACAACAATAAATAAATAACCCAATCAATAAATGGGCAAAAGGAACTGAACAGCCACTTCACAGAAGAAATACAAATGGGTCAATATATGAAAAATGTTCAAAATCTCTAGCAATTACAGAAATGCAAATTAAAACTACACTGAGATTCCATCTCGCTCCAGTCAGAATGTCAATTATCAAGAATACAAGTAACAATAAATGTTGGCGAGGATGTGGGGAGAAGTACACTCATAGTATTTCTGGTGGGATTGCAAACTGTTGCAACCACTCTGGAAAGCAGTATAAAGATTCCTCAGAAAACTTGAATTGGAACCACAATTTGACCCAGTTACCCCATCCCTTGGTATATACCCAAAGGACTTATGAAATCAGTATACTACAGTGACACAGCCACATCAATGTTTATAGCAGCTCAATTCACAATAGCTAAGCTATGGAACCAACCTAGGTGTCCTTCAACAGACAAATGGATAATAAAATGTGGAATATATACACACACACACACACATACATACACACACACACACATATACACACATAAATACACATACATATACATATACACACATATGTGGTATGTATATATGTATACACATAAATGCACACACTGGAAAATTAGCCATAAAAAAAGAATGACTGCTTTATGACTTTTGCAGTAAATGGATGGATCTGGAGACTATCATGCTAAGTGATATTTTCCAATCCCCAAAAACCAAAGGCAGAATGTTCTGATATGCGGATGTTAACACACAATGAAGGAGGGAGAGGGAAGAATAGAGGTTCATTGGATTAGACAAAGGGAAGTGGGGATGGGAATAGGAAAGACAGTAGAATGAATTGGACATAACTTTCATATGTTCATAGGTGAATACATGACCTTTGAAATGCCACATTAGGATCCCATTCTTGTGGTTATACATAATCAGAATAAGTTAAACTCCATGTATGTATAACATGTCAAAGTACACTCTACTGTCATGTACATCTAACCAGAAAAAAAAAATATTTGAAGAAACTGATGAGACTTTTTCAAAATGAGTGCAAGACAAACATAGATTCCAGAATCTTTAAGCATCCCAAGCACAAAGCATCCCATTAACACAAAGAAAAAATGCCTCCGAAGACGTCAGAGTTGAACTGCTAAAACTCCAAAATAAAGAGAGAACCCATCAAAGTAGCCAGATGAAAACAGAGGACTTTATGTAAGAATGACAGCAAGCTTCTTGTCAGAAAACATGCAATCCAGAAGGCAATGGAACAGTAGCCAAGGGCTAAAAGAAAAAACAACTCCCCCCACCAAAACTCTAGCTTACTAAATTGAAAAATACACCTAAAAGATTCTGTGTACCCCCAGTGAATACATCTTTTAACATAAAGGAGATAATCTAGATCAAATGGCCAATTTCTTGAAAGGCAAACAAATATGCTTTGAATAAGACAATGTCTATTAAAGAAATGGAATCAATAGTTAACATTTCAACACAGAAAGTATCACACCCACAGGGGCTCTCAGGCGACTTCTACCAAACATTTAAGGGTAAAAGTAGACCAATTCTCCATCTTTCTTCGTAAGATAGTCATTCTGCTTTCATTTCCTAATTCATTCTACGAAGCCAGCATCACCCTACTACCAAAACCAGACAAAAATATAACTATAGACCAGTATCTCTCACGAACATAAATTTAAAAAACCTCAATAAAATACACATAAAAAGAACTAAACATCATAGTCAAGTGGGGATTTGTCCTATGTACATAAGGCTGGCTCACTATTTGAAAAGCAATTAAAGTAACCCATGACACCAAGAGGCTAAAGAAGAAAATTCACATCATAACCATAGATGCAGAAAAAGCATCTGACATGAAAAAGCTCAGTGAAGTAGGAATGGGCAGGGAGCTTCAACATGATAAAGAATATCTACAAAACCCCATAAATAAAATGAATATCATACTTTATTGCTGTTATGGTTTGGATGTGAGGTATCCCCCTTAAGGTCACATGTGAGACAATGCAACAAGGTTCAGAGGAGAAGTGATTGGGTTGTAAGAGTCTTAACCCAATCAATCAGTGAATTGATCCCTGATGGGATTAACTGAAGTGGTAGGATGTGGCTGAAGGAGGTGGGAACTGGGGCGTAGCTATGGGGTATATATTCTGTGTACACCACAAAAATACAGTCAGCTGGCCTTGGACAGCCAAGGCCCCACACATCAATCTAGACATGGATCTTCTTCTTCCTTTACAGCAATTAATTCAAGATGGATCACAGATCTAAATGTACAACATAAAATACAAAACATAAAACCCCTAGAAGATAACAGGAGAAAATCTAGATGTCCTTGGGTTTCACAAGGGCTTTTCAGATAGGACACCAAAGGCAAAATCCATTACAGGAAAACTGATAAACCCAACTTCATTAAAATAAAAATATTGTACTCGGCAGAGATACTGTCAAGAATTGAGAAGACAAGTCAATGACTGGACTAAAATATTTGCAGAATTCCTATGTGATAGAGAACTATTATCCAAAATATACAAATACATTTTTTTCTCAGGAGATACAGGGAATTGAATGCAGGGGTGTTTTACCACTGAGCCACATTCCACATTCCCCAGCCTTTTAACAACAACCCTATTAAAAGCAGGCCAAAGTCCTTGATAGATACCCCACCAAAGATGATATACAGGTGGCAAACAAGCATAAGAAAAGATGCTTTAACATCATAGGTCATCAGGGAAATGAAAATTAAAACAAGAATGAAATACCACTAACACTGGGCATGGGGACACATGCCTGTAATCCCAGAGACTCAGGGGGCCAAGATGGGAGCATCGCAAGTTCAAGGCTATCCTCAGCAACTTAGGGAGACCCTGTCTCAAAAAATAAAAAGAGCTGAGGATGTGGCTCAGTGG